TATTTTATTTTTGGGCCCACTACAAGCAAATGTTCAAAGATTTGATTAATAATGTATATAAAATATTTTGTAAAGATTTTCAGTGGCAACCAGCTTTATACAACTGTGTTTGTGCTCTTTTCTCAGGCTGCCATGGCAAGTTCCAAACCTGCAAGACTGAAGGTGATTCTAGGAGCAGGCAACATTGAAAAACTGACTCTTCCAAATGGCATACCAGACTCTTTGGATGAGCTTCTCCACAAGGTGAAGGAAACCTTTGGTTTAAAGACCAACATCCGACTTCAATACATGGACAAAGACTTTGGTAATGACTTCTTCAATCTTAGTTCAACTTCAGACCTTGAGGATTTAGGAACAGTCAAGGTGATTCAACAAGAAGCCTTTCAACATTTATTTGATGTCACTGAGGCAGCGTCATCTTCTACACTTCACTCTGACAGCAGTTCTTTGACCTCAGATGACACTATAATCCTCTCCTCCCCTGAATCCTTGTCATCACGAACACAACAGTGGCCATCCGACTTCCAAATTCCAGTATTTTCGTATGACACAGAGCGTCAGCTAGAGAAGGGGAATTCGGAGTATCAAGCAAACAACAGAATGTTGACTGTCACCTCCCGAATGAAGACTGACATCTTAAATAGATTAGCAGAAGAGATCTACAAATACAAAGCCTACCCAGAGGATGCACATTTCTGTGTAGTTGCAGAGGCCTTAATTAAAAAGTACCCGTGTTTGAAAGAGCCTGGTTCATTTAACGGTTGCTATGGTTGGAAACAAAGACTGAAGTACAAAATGGGAAACTACAGGACTCTACTCAAATCCCAGGGATGTCCAGAGTTGTCTGTAAACTCGTTAAAATCCAAAGCTAGTACTTCTCTTTTTCCTGCTGCAAAAATAAAGAAGGCAAGGCGAGCTGAAGCCAACTTTTATCCGTCCTTTCCTTTGGGAGAAACACCAGAAACCATGGAAAACGAGAGACTTGAACTTTTGACAGCAATCAGAAAGAGGAACAATGGCGGGGTCATTGCAGACAAAATGGCTCGTACATTTGCCTACAGGCGTCAGGAGGTGGTGAATGAAGAACCTGGCATAGAGGATTTCAAGGAGAGATGGCCTGCACTTTTCCAACCGAAGGAGGTAGTAACTCCTGAAGTTAGATGTCAATGTGTTCAACTTAGATTTTTGGAATAGTTGGTCTGTATTTACCCAAATCCATTTCTATGCACATATTAAAAATGTGGAATTTTTAAATGTTTTTCAGATTAATGCAGAATTCCAGAGGCTTGTGGCTCTTCCCCTTGAGCAGACTTTCATGGCACAGTTGGACGGATATTCAAGTCGGCTGATAAAAGTTATCAAGGCCAAAGGAGGAACAACACGTGCCAAAATGGCTGACATCATAAAAACCTATGATGAGGTATGCATATCATCAATGGGGAAACTGAGAACTAAGTTATGGCTATCTACTTTATTTGTTTTGTTCTATGGCCTTACTATTGTGCCACCAGTTTGAGTGAGCAGTAACACTGATTTGAGAGCAGATTTCATTGTGAATGAACAATAATCTCAAGCATGTGCAGTCAGATCACACACACGCTTGCTTGGCTCCCTCCCTGCTTGCTCAACTCTTTCGCTGCT